GTGTCATTGTGTGTGTGTGTGTGTGTGTGTGTGTGTGTGTGTGTGTATGTGTGTGTACACAAAAAAGTAAACCAATGTAAGCATGAAGTCTGCATTTGCTGTAAACCACAGTTTAGCGGAGGAAAATACTTCAGCTTGTCAAAGCCATTTTTCAACTCTAGAAAAACGAACGCAATAGCAAACTACTTTGAAAAGAAGCAATACATTTTAAAATATATTACTATTAGATAGAATTTGCGACTTTAAATATAAAGTTATCTTTCAAGTCAAATTCCAGGAAGTAACAACATTATTCATCCACAAATACATTTGCACTAAAGGCAATTACAAAAAGAAAAAGAAAAAAAAGAACCCACCTGCCACAAATTGTTTCTTTTTAAACTGTCTAGACAATCTGATTAATTAAAATTAATCTGACTTTTTAATGAGTCAAAGATATGATGTTGCAGCAGAGGTTATTTATTAACTGGAAAAGCTACACTTTTTTGAAGACTATTCATATACTGGCGAGCCATTGAAAATGTACAGTGGGTATAGAAAAGAATCAGCCCCTTTAAAATAATCACATTTTGTTGCTTTGCAGCCTGAAATGAAGACAGACACAGTTTTAGTTTTGTCCAGCTGTATTTACTCAGTGCAACTTATAACATCCAAGTGAAAAATAAAACACCAACATAAAAAACAGAGTCACTGAGTTGGCAAAAGGATCACCCCCTTGTGTCAGTATTTTGTTGAACCACCTTTTGATTTAATTACAGCCTTTCGTCTGTTGGGATTTGTCTCTACTAACTTTGCACATCTAGACTTTGCAATATCTGCCCACTCTTCTTTGCAGAACTGCTCAAGTTCGGTTAAATATTATGGTGAAAATTTGTGGACTGCAGTCTTCAAGTCATTCCACAGATTTTCAATGGGGTTTAAGTCTGGGCTCTGACTAAGCCATGCAAGGACATTCACCAAGACATTCACCTTTTTCTCCTTCAGCCACTGTGTGCTCAGTGTGCTCTGTGTGTTTTGGGTCTTAGTCATGTTGGAAGGTAAACCTTTTTCCCAC